AGGGGGGGGGCGATGGGGTGAATAGATATGTAACAGTCACATTCAAAAAGGATATCTATGAATATTGTATGTTCAGTTGACCACCTTCCTTAAAAGATCTCCACTAGTTAACATAGTTTGTGCATTTCCGTATTGATTAAATTTTAGGGAAAGACCCTGTAGCGAGTGACCACCCCAACAAACACAATAAAGAAGAGACCTAACCCTAACGCTGACCCAACCCCTAACCCTACCCTTACCCCTACCCATTCCCTTACCCTTACCCCTACCCCTACCCCTAATCCTACCCCACACCCTAAACCTACCCCAAACCCTAACCCTACTCCTACCCCTACCCCAAATCCTAACCCTAAACCTAACTCTCTATACTACTCAGTTTCATAGTGGTCGCTCGTTACAGAATTCCTCCCAATAATAGCCGGGATTCTCGCTTCTTTTCCTCATTATCCTCTGAGCCTCCTGTCCTAGAAATTTGCTGCGAAAGGTTACAGCATCAACACCAAACAAATTCAAAAACACAATCTGCCATTGAGTTTCATGAAGTACCGGTAACATTGACAATCAAGCTATAGTTTCAACATCTGCATAATATGAAACTGGACTTTATCAAGCAAATTGTGTTCCAATTACAATAGGTCTACTGTAATGTCAAACAGCCTTCAAGGGAGTTAGGTTATTAGATCAACTTAATTGTGAAATTTACCAAAATTGATGTTAGCCATCTGCTTTCTAATCAAAGGTATTTGACACTCCTTTTAATCGCTACAAGCTTCTCGAATTACACACAATCTAACTTTAAAGTTGTCCGGATAACATAAGCCAGAATTCACTTCAACCAAATACGCTTTCAAGAGAGAAACAAATAGAAGTCGACAGTTTTTTCACGTTGACAACTTACAGCACACACACACAACACACCAGCAATAAACACACCTGTTTTCCTTCCGTCCCCGCGATGCTTTCACCCGTTTTCTTTGCACGCACAACATTCAGAGCTCTTGACGCTTCACTGCTCGGTTTTAATTCGAGTCCCGTAAAAGTTTTCGTACTCGAGTATTTTAAACTGTTTCTTTTTCCCCAGACATACGCTTTAGATATAGCGACCGCCTTTGTCTCCTCTGAAATGAGAAATGCTCTACTCTGATCTGATACGAACCAATCGAGTACAAACCGTGTTGTCAAGAATCGAGGAATTCAACTTACCCTAGTGTTGATATTGCACAACCCGATACTTCCACGGCAACACGTGTGTCAGTCGATGAAGCGTGAAGCTAGTGTGTGTGTATGCGTATGGGGCTTGAGGGGGGGGGGTGTTCTCAAACCTCAATAAATTAATTTCAAATCAGCCGACTTTACAACTTGCTGGTAGCCTACTTTAATTCTCTGCCCTGCCTGGCCACAAGTTAGATCATTTAAGATGCGGACTTCGACTCTGCCTGTCAGGGCAAATTTAACCAGGGATTAAAGCAGAGGAGTCGTGTGGGTTGCAGACAAGGTAGTGCATAATTGGAAAGTGAGCAAGTGGGCAATAGGCTTACTAGCTACTATTAAAATTGTAATAAGCGCTTGGCGGGCGCTCTAGTGTGGTCTGTTCTTTCTATTGCTTTCTGCGAGTCTCTCTCTCTCACTCTCTCTCTCTCTCTCTCTCTCTCTCTCTCTCTCTCTCTCCCTCTCTCTCTCCCTCTGTGTGTGTGTGTGTGTGTGTGTGTGTGTGTGTGTGTGTGTGAGAGAGAGAGAGAGAGAGAGAGAAAGAGAGAGATAGAGAGAGATAGAGAGAGATAGAGAGAAGGAGAGCATGTCCAAGTCGCGGGTAGGGTGAAGCGATTCTGAATATCGTTCTGGTCAAAGCAAGAGAAAGTTGGGTGAAATTGGCTGAAATACACAGGCTCTCAAAATTGAGACTAAAACTGACACTAAAGCGTATTACATCACCAGAGGGCATTTCATGAGTTGAAGCGGTATTTTATGATTTATTAATTTTTTACTTCTTGCGAGGCCAGGAACTATTTAATTTACTTTAATGTTCAAGACGGACAATCTAAAAAAAAAATTAACGTTTAACTCATTGTGGCACTATTATAAATTACTGGATCGACTCGCGGGCCACAGTTTTCCCATGCCTGGTTTACATGGTTATAAAATATAAGCCTTGATGGTTATAAACTATTTGACCTGTTCTCAAATTAAAGACGTTGAATCAGGGGTATAGCCATCGGTAACCTTTAACCCTCCATTCGGGGGGGGGGGGGGGTATGTGTGTGTGTGTGTGTGTGTGTGTGTGTGTGTGTGTGTGTGTGTGTGTGTGTGTGTGTGTGTGTGTGTGTGTGTGTGTGTGTGTGTGTGTGCGTGTGTGTGTGTGCATGGATAAAAGAACGAAATTATTATTTTTAAAACTTGAACACTGTTGTATATAATAAACGCCGTTGATCTTTACAAGAAAAGGGAAGAATAAACAAATAAACATTTTTTTCATAATAATCAATTGTTATTGATTTCTTTTATTGCAATAAAGGCACAGAATACTTTAAAACTTAGATACATTTAACAATGGACCGTTCACTTTATCGTGTTCACTATTTCTTGAAACATTCTCGAAAACTGTGTTTCGTTTGCCCTGCATTTTGCATACAGTCTTATATTTTCACTGACCCTAAGATTTTCATGTCTAATATTCTGTACATTTAACGGTTGATTCAAAGCGGGGAACGAAAGCATATTACCTGTTATAAGCTTTTCATAGGCGTATCCACCGTGGATTGGGTTTTTTTTAAAAAAAGTGCTTTAGGCTTGTCAAGTAATCGCTTCTACCGGTGAAAATAAATCTACTATTCAAATAACGCTGAAAAAAATTACTGACCATGACAGTCAGTAGTATGTACAACAACGATTTCATGTGATTACAATTGGTCGAAGGCAAAGTTTTTGGATCCTTATTCAGTTTCTTTAAAAGACAGGAGAATTTTCCTTATAACCAAACAAATATCCACACTATTGAAACCAAACTTCTACAATAGGTAGGGCAATGTCCACTTTAGGTGTAGGTCAAGATTTCTGGAATCCCCCAAATCTGGGTTAGTCCGCTTGTCCTTAAAAGCGACCAATTAGTGTTTTCAGCTTTGACAAAGCTTTCTTTAGAGACACTTTTAATATTAAAATTCCGGGGGTTTAAGAGTACGAAAAAAAAGAGTGCAGAGCGGAGAAATCGTGAGAGCTGATGTAACATCGTCATTGTAGCTGAAACACAGTTCCCTGGAAGTATAAACCATTCTAAATTGTGGACATTCAAGCAAAGTCGTTTCTTACTGTAAACAAAGAGACGAAATCCGTTGGTGAGTGAAGCGAGGAAAGACAGGGAAACGGACAGAATTAGAGCAGCACATGTTTTTGGAGCGTTTTCCTATCGAATCCAAATGCCTGTCTATGGCGGTGGACTCTGCAGAATAGAAATGGAGACCTCAGGATGAAGCCTCCTCTGTTGAATGTTGTTTGTGGTTGAGGCAGCCGTCCCCACAGCTGAGTCCAACTGAGTTTTGAAATTTCATTACTTAATATTTATTTCAAACTGCACACACAATGATGTTCTAATTTCCAACTTGAAATTTCATTAGAAATAAGTTGATTAAATTTTACAAAATAAAATGTTCCACACAAAAAAAAAGAATAGGAAGTATTTCTGTATCAAAGTATTACCCAAAAAGGGAACACGATGTACTCCGTGTAAGTAAAATATAGAAGTACAGGGAGGAGTAAGAATTCCTCGTCTTGCCGCTCCGAAAATCACCACCAAGTCCTGTCTTCTGTCGGGAACCGCAAGTGTCTCACTGGAATTCGAACCTCTGCCTTCAACAAGTTGGACAAGTACATAACCCCTATGCCGTAGCATTCTATGGTTATAGTTACATAAACACGAACATTGAGCAATATTACATACTTTCAAACGGGAAAATGAGAACAAATGAGAATCAGAGAGATTTTTAAAAAGCCACGTGGACGATGATGAGACTGAGTTATAAATTGTAAGAAAAAGATAAACCATACTGGAGGAGTAGTAAATTGGATAATAATAATATTATTTGCGACTCGGTGGGTGGTAATGTTCACCATGCCATCATTTTTCAAAAGCAAATCTTTCTCTTTATTTTACTATTCTTCGTCCAAAAATTTGGAAAAAGAGGAAGGGTGGAGGGGGCATATCTGTTACGTAAGTAAAGGTTACAAAATTGATAATGAGATATTATTAAAGATGGACATTAGATTTTGTCTTACTGCATATAAGAAAACGGACGTAATCGTTTAACAACCTTTGGACAGTGCTTAAAAAGCAGGCTACTCGAACATCTTTCATGATGCCCCAGTCAAAATAATAAATATTTGTTGAATTTTGGTAATGATTACTCGTCCAAATAAGGCCTGGCTGTAGGTGGACCTTCGTCAATATTTTAGGCGCCAGTTCTTGGAAAGACTCTGCAACATGTTTGACGTTAAGAAAATCTGGAACCAGGTGATATTTTCCAACTTATTTGCAAATGACAACAAAGTAAACAACAAGACAGATGTACAAATTTCGGTGTTTATTCAATTTGTTTTTGACAATAACATTTGTAACATAGTATTTCTGAGGTACTTAAGTTTCCAAAATCAAAAAGAAACAGGAACTATCATCATTCATGTTTCTAAGTTATTAGCTTGACACTTGGTGTACAAGGAAACTCATTATTTCTGTATTAGAAACTTTCTATCAAGCCTCATTTTGAGATTTCTGGTGCAGCCCCATAGGGTTACGGTGTTCTTCCTAGCGGATTTCAATAGCCCATCATTTGTTATCATTCGGATTTAGTTCTGTGGATTTTTTGGGGTTTGGTTGTTGTTGTTGTTGTTGTTGTTGTTGTTGTTGTTGTTGTTGTTGTTGTTGTTGTTGTTGTTGTTGTTGTTGTTGTTGTTTTTTTGTTGCTGTTGTTGCTGTTTTCTCACAGCACGCTCAAATTTCAAAATAGCAAGAAAGAAGTCAGGCAGAAGGAACAGTTTTCATAAAAATTTTATGAAGGTAGCTCTATTCATAATTCATTCTTATCTATTATTATGTTTTGGGAAAAATTCTTACACCCCAACCTCTGACCTTTTCTGTACTAATGTTATTTCACCTGTTACACAATGGGGACGGTGTTTATATAATTCTTCGTATTCTGAAAAGGTATTTGGATGAAACATTTTCATTTACAGCATTTTAAATGAAAGCTGTGGAATCTGAACATTCTTTGTGTCAAATTGATAAAACACGATTCTAAAATAGTATTGATATTTTGCGTCACTAATGATGCGGGTTGTGTATTTTCTACAAATATTCCATTCCGGTAAACTAAACCAGAACTTTAAAAAAAAATGGTTAGAGTTACATAATCGAAGCACTGGACTATAAAGCGTTGTTATTATGACTACGATGATTCGTTCTAAGGAGATTAGCAGCTTTTGCAGAGAAGAATGGTTAATAGTAAATTGAAACATCCGTGGGCTGTCTTCAACAACTTAACTTTAATACAAAGACAGCACAGATCAGAACTTATTTGAAGTCCCTCAGTCCCTGAGGTCTGTAACAAATAATGTTTGGAAAGAGATAAACAAACTGTTTGACTCCTAACGATATAGAGCGAAGCCGTGAGTGTTTTAAAAAGTGCATGCATTTATTTTTTGCTTTGGGTACTTCGTAGTCTGTAGTAAAGCCCTTTGAGTGCCATCAGCTGATGATGGTTGCCCTGCTCCATGACCCTTCCGGCCTCAATCACAGCTATCTTGTCTGCGTCTTTGATGGTGCTCAGCCGGTGGGCAATTGTGATGCACGTACGTCCTGCACGCGCTTTATCTAAGGCTTCTTGTACAATCTGGGGACATATTTTTTTGAAAATAAAAATATGTTCTCAGAGACAACCACACCAATTCGGATAAGAGATCTTTCACATTCTATTGAACACAGTTTTGATTGGTCGATATAAAAGTTTGCTTTCCTTGCCGTCCTGAGCCATGTTTCTTTCTGTTAAAATTAATTAATTAATTAATTAAACATACATGAAAGAAAAAAACGGGCCGGGGGGGGGGGGGAATTAAATTCTTCGCTATCTATTTTGTACAGCAAGATATTTCAAGAGCTTTCTATATCCTTTGTTTTACTTTGCACTTTGAGTGCTATTCACCGTCAGTTCTGTCTCAATTGGTCAAAAAAAGTCAGGGTTGAAATTTTTGCTGTTAAATGTCCCCACATTTAATATCCTCGGTCAAACGGCAACTCATGTTCTTGCTCTGAATATGATAATGTTTTGTCCGAGTTTCAGGAGGCAATACACAAACCTCCAGATCGAATTTACAATCTCCAGCTCCCTATTGGGATAACGGCAAGACATTCAAAGTACAGCTTGTCCGTTTGTTTGTTGATTCTCTTGTGCTTGCCTTGGATATTTATTTTTTTATTTTTTTTATCTTCAGAAATCTTTGTCGTGATCTTCTAGACTTCTTGTACGGTTTTTCTTTCTTTCTTTTTACACCTATTATGTAGCGTTCAAAATAATGTATTGTTGGGTTTTACAACTGACTAGACTATAAAAATAGCAATACAACAAAAAAATGAAGACAAAAGTTATGGAGGATTGTTGACACTCAGCACAAGGCGAGGTGTCACTCTGTATCTTTGGGGGTGTGTGTAGTGTTGAACGCTGTAATAATACAGCGGGGCTCATTTTGACGACGGGCTGCTATACAGCCTTACAGACTGACTGTAGCTACACACTTGAATACCATAAGAAGATGACTTCATCGTATGGTTCACGTATTAATCGTTTTTAGTGTGACAGTATTTCCCACTCACGTGATCTGACTGAGAACACAGAGCTAGGCTTGTAAAATAGCATACATGGAGTGAAATTCAGCCTAACCCTAACCCTCATTAGATCAAAGAGTGAACCGCAAAAGAGAAAAGGCAGGCCAGAGAAACATCGCTATACTTCTCAACCTTAATGGTATATTATGTCATGAGAGTTTGTTATTTATGAGTGTACCTTCTCGCTGTCTGTGTCCAGCGCTGACGTGGCCTCATCAAGTAACAAGATCTTGGGGTTTCTGACCAAGGCTCTGGCGATGGCAATTCTTTGTTTCTGGCCTCCACTGAGTTGCGTGCCCTTTGATCCGACGTTTGTGTTGTAACCCTGTGTGAGGATAAATGAATTCATTTAACCGGTGCGGGCGAAGAGATGCAATGATAGATATGTAGAAATCGCAGAAGTGTGAGTCACATTCTTATGATCTAAACCTTGCCAAATCGATGTTTTACAGATCACCGTGAATCAAGCTTGTGAAACAAATACATGTAGCTGGATAAGACAGCTGAAGCAGTTTCTGGGTTACTGGGCATGGATTTGGAGAGATTTCAGACGACTGATCATGGTGTTTTTCCCGCTAATTCATCGTATTTGTCATATAATTCGATAATCTTGGTTGACATACATTAAATTTGTTTGTTTTGTTTGTTTTTGTAAAGTGCTTTACGGCGCTCGCAACTGCATAAGGTCATATGAGCGCGCGGGACACGCCTAATATTTTCAGTTGGTAGGGAATTTTGAATTTTGCTCGAGTGGCAGCCGAAGCCTACTCTTATCGACTTTAGACCACCAAGGGATCTTTAACGTGCGCAAATTGCACATGGGTCCTCCGAGATTCTTCGCCCTTGTCCGAGAAGGCTAGGTGTAGATCTTTTCTACCAGAAGATCAGGGGTGTGGCAGAAAGACAGCAGTAAGGAGGAGCCAAGGAGTAGCAGTAGAAAGGCTGCAGAAAGGGTCAGGAGCCCAGAGGAGGAGGCAAAGGAGGTGAGGGGGTGGGGGCAGAAAATGGAAAGAAAGCAGACAACAGAACATTGCTAGAGAGCAGGAAAGGAGGTGAAAGGAGACAATTTTAGAGAAGAAAATTTTTCGGTTGCTACCCGGATTCGAACCCGGGGCCTTTGAATGAGAGGCCAACACCTTAACCTCTAGGCCACGAGAGCCCCCGCAAACATTTAAATCAACATGGCTGCGTGGGTCTGAGGCTGTATACTTGAGATACATACTGACCTTCAGCTACGTTAGGGTATTGGGTTTTGTCACAGGCTAATTAAGCTTTAATCAGAAACACAAATTAAGGTCAAAGGGTGAAAATATGAAAATGTGTGTTTTGTGTACTAGTTAAGCTGGAGCGTTCTATACTTTTGCGAATTGAAAGCATACTTTTTGCCAGAACGTCATATACAGGATGTTAAAAAAAAAAACAACTTTACAACTTTTTTTCTAAATATCTCGCGCAAATGTTGTTCTAGAAAGATGAAATTTGGAACAGATAAACTTCATTCAAAAGGAAGTAGTTTGACATAACATTTATACAGAAGAAACTTATTTTCAGAACGGAAAAAGCATAAGGGAAAAACACCCATAAACGCCAAATGCGCCAATTAAAAAAAAGACACTCTCGCAAAGAAAGTCAAGAGACGATTAATTTGATTTTTGTCTTCTTTTTGTTTATAACATTTAATTGTTCCAACCTTGTGACATAAACAATATTTAACTTCTCTTAGGAAGTTTAAGAACTAACATTTTTGTTTTGGAATTTTAAAAACAAATGCTCCACATGTCCTCCTTTGGACTCCAAACATCTTTTAACGCGTCGTTTGAAATGCTCGATGACGGCCAAACACAGTTCCCGCGGAATGTTTCTCACTTCATCACGGATTGCTTGTTTCATAATTTCAATGTTTTCAAACTGGTTTTGAAATATCCTGTCCTTCATTTAGCCCCCACAAGAAAAGTCTAAAGGATTCAGGTCAGGAGAATGTGGAGCCCAAATGTGTTCACTTCTGCGACTGATCACATGATCTCCAAAGTGGTCAGCTAGCCATGTCATTGATCTGACAAAAACGTGTGGATTCATGCCGGAATCACTGGTCTTGGCGATCTAAGTGCCGGTGTCTCCCCAGATCCGTCCAGAATTTCTTCAGCACCTCGATATATCGGTCTGCGTTCACAGTTGCAACATGTCCGTCTGCGTCTTCAAAAAAAAAAAGGACCCATCAAACCATTAGCACTTAAAGCCACCCACACAGTACACCTTTCTGAAGGACAGGATACTTCAAAACCAGTTTGAAAACATTGAAATTATGAAACAAGCAATCCGTGATGAAGTGATAAATATTCCGCGGGAACTGTGTTTGGCTGTCATCGAGCATTTCAAACGACGCTTTAAAAGATGTTTGGAGTCCAAAGGAGGACATGTGGAGCATTTGTTTTAGAAATTCCAGAACAAAAATATTAGTTCTTTAACTCTCTTAGAGAAGTTAAATATTGTTTTATGTCACAAGGTTGGAACAATTAAATGTTATAGAGAAATAGAAGACAAAAATCAAATCAATCGTCTCATGTCTTTCCTTGAGAGAGTGGCATTTTTTTAAAAAGTGGCGCATATTGCGTTTTTGTGTGTTTTTTCCGTTATGCTTTTTCCGTTCTGAAAATAAGTTTCTTGGTTTGAATTTTATGTCAAACAAATTCCTTTTGAATGAAGTTTATCTGTTTCAAATTTCATCTTTCGAGAACAACATTTGCGCGAGATATTTTGAAAAAAGTTGTAACGTTGTTGTTGTTTTTTTATCATTCTGTATTTAGAAAACATTTCTTTCCCTGTACCTATTCCAAGAAGCTAAAAACGAATCAAGCCTTTTAGGTGACTTGGAGGTCCAACATGTTGCCTTTTCTTAAACTTAAAAATAATCAAAGACTTATCCTTCTAATGGAAGTAAGATTTATGTGGATGCTCCTAGCCTTTACTCGGCTAAAATTTGACAAAGGTTTAGATTAGGGTGCTTATAAAATTAGATGCATATCATCACGAGTCTCTGCCCTCACATTTATTGCGCTTTCATCAACTTACTTGTGGCAAAGCCTCTATAAAGTTGTGTATATTGGCTTCCCGGGCGGCTCGTATGATTTCGTCCATGGAGACCTTCCTGGAGTTGTCACCGTATGCGATATTCTCCTCTATAGAGGTGTCAAACAGGATGGGTTCTTGTGAGACCAGGCCAATCTGTCTTCGCAGCCACTGCACGTTTAATTCTTTGACATTGTGCTTATCCAGAAACTGTGGGATACAATTGAGACATACGACATTTACTCTCTACATCAATCACTTATCCAAACTCACGGACGTGCTTTGCAGTTAAGGCATTAGGCCAAACATTTTAAAATCATGAATGCTCTCCATGGTTGCAGTTGAAAAAAATCTCTAAAGAAAGTAGGTTGCCCCTCCATTCTATACAAGCCCTGAAGAGCAGGTATGTGAATGTAATTTATGGTTCAACATTATTTACCAACTTAGATGAACTTGTCCATCGTGCTGAAAATTGTATTGCCTTAGTGAAAAACTGGATGAACAAAAATAAATTGATGCTAAATGATAATAAAACACAAGTCATTCTGGCAGGCAGTGCAAAGTCTGTTAAAGAGGTTGACCATGATCACATTAAAATTGGTGATGCAAAAATTTTATTTTCAAGAAAAGTTCAGAATCTTGGCATCTATTTTGATTCTAGTTTGTCAATGTCGGCTGAGATAAATCATCTGATCAGTTGCATGTATTTAGAAATAAGAAAAATTAGTAAAATACGTCATCTGATCAATACCAAGTATACTGCTTTACTAGTAACTAGCTTAATTTTATCAAAACTCGATTATTGTAACTCCTTGTTATCAGGAATACCACTGGAGAAAGTTAAAAGACTTCAAACTGTCCAAAACAATGCAGCACGTTTAGTTTTACGGAAAAGAAAGCGAGACTCTGCTAAACCTCTTTTACGAACTTTGCATTGGCTTCCTGTTGAGAAAAGGATTGTGTACAAGTTGGCCACCATATGTCACAAATGTTTGAATGATAATGCACCATCATATTTATCAAATCTGTTAAGACTGTACATTCCAACTCGCAGTTTAAGATCATCAGCTGACAAAAAGAAATTTATTTTACCATCTATGAAACTTAAAACAATGGGTGAAAGGGCATTTGAATACCAAGGCCCCAAGATCTGGAATGCTTTACCAAGTACGTTGAGAGAAATCAAATCTTTTGATTCATTCAAATGTCAGCTGAAGTCGTTTCTGTTTTTAAATTAATAAGATGAATATTTGGAATAATTTTCTTTAGTCAGAACACAACGTTTCATGTTACTGTTGTATGTTGTACTGTATTGTAAAGCGCTCAGAGCCTGTGTACTTTATTCGGGGTTGAGCGCTATATAAATGTCATTTATTATTATTATTATTAAAGATAATCTGAATTACATGCTACGAAGCAATACTCTAAGGTGAACTATTAAATCACAGAAAATTATTGAATGCTCTTCTTTCAACAACATTTAAAGAGTTGATGCATTTCTCTATTTCTTGGTTTTAATCTGCTATTAGAAAGTCACGACTTACAATGACAATTTCAAAGCAAAAGATTCACAACTTTTAATTTCCTTTTTGGATATGCTTAGACATTTTTAAAATCTCTTCTGCTTCTCGATCAAGAGGGGACTCATTTGTGAATTTTAGAAAATGAAATCCCGAAAAGACATAATTTGTAGAAATAGATCTATACATTTTTCGCCTACCACAGTTCCCGCTTCTAAGTCATAAAATCTCTCCATCAGGTGAATAGCAGTGCTTTTGCCACAGCCGCTCTCGCCGACCAAGGCCAAGGTCTGTCCTGGTTGTACACTGAGGTCAAGGCCATTTAGGATTGTTACTTCCGGTCGTGTTGGATAGCGGAATTGCGCGTGAGAGAAGCGTACAACACTGCTGAAGGAACCCTGAAGTAGAGAGGTAAAACATGAGCCAAATTGATGTCAGGACTAAGACCAAGAAGGGGAAAAAATAAAATTGAGGAAAATGTTTGTGTCTGCACTTGTATTTGTGTGTATTGTGTATTTCTGTGTTTATACGGGTGTTTTTGAGTGGAGGGCATAGGTGAGGAGTTGGAATAAGATGAACATTGTGTGATTCGTGTGCATATATGAGGGTGGGGGGTACGTATGTGTGTTTTTGTGCGTGTGTGTGTGTGTGTTTCTGTGTGGGTGTGATATATATATTTTTATATATATATATATATATATATATATATATATATATATATAGAGAGAGAGAGAGAGAGAGAGAGAGAGAGAGAGAGAGAGAGAGAGAGAGAGAGACAGACAGACAGACAGACAGACAGACAGACAGACAGACAGACAGACAGACAGACAGACAGACAGACAGACAGACAGACAGACAGACAGACAGACAGACAGACAGACAGACAGAGAGAAAGAGAGAGAGAGAGAGAGAGAGAGAGAGAGAGAGAGAGAGAGATCTTTTTAAATAGCACAACTGCATTGTCTAGATGTACTTTTGTGAATCAAAATGACAGTGTTGTGGAGGAATACTGGCGTTATACAATTGCAAGATCATCTTCGATTTTGTATCAACAATATTACAAACCACAGCTTGCTTGCTTTGTAATGCTTTTGAAACTTACAACATGCTTTCCAAAGTGGAATATAAATTAATAAAGCTTCTGTTTTTCTCCCTGAGTGCACAGTCCTCCAAATCTTAATTTAACAATGATGTGCACGTCTAAAGGGTATTCATCTCACTGTCATGTGCTTCCTGTGTTTACCAAAGAATAAAGTATATTATTTTCTTTTCTCCTTTGTTCCCATTTTCATGCTCTACTACTGGGCCACGATTTCCGCCTGTGTCTAGTGAGGTAACGTGACGAAACCAAATTGCAAAAGAGACAATATTCACAACGAGTAAACGCTTCTAATACCTCTGCTGGTTTCTCTCCATCGTCGGAGTACGGATTTATAGATGTCTGATAGTCTGCCAAGCCGAAGATCCTTCCTGCTGCCCTTCTAGCTCTTGACGCATCTGGCGCAAACGCCACGCTCCGACCCAGCTGCATGGCACCCATGACAATGCAGGTGAAAACTCTGTTTTGAGGAAAAGAACAAAGTTTCTTAATTTTACTTGAATCGGCTACGGCATGAATTAAAACAGAAAGACACTGGAGAGGGGGGGGGCAAGAGAACTGAAAAGAAACGGAGTACTCTGATGAGGAAGATCTGGTTTATTTGTAAGGACCTACCAACTTCTTTCAGTATTGTAAATTATAAAAGTGGCGAGACTTCCGAATATAAAGTCAGTTTACAGAAGGAACAACCCACGTGCATAGAGATTTGAAGACTCCTCAAATAACTCAATTTGCGTAATTTATTTTTCAGTTCGAATAAAACTTTTTAGAATCAAAATGCTCATGCCATACAGGTATTGCCCAGTGATGACGATGGTATTTTATGTTCAGTGTACGCTGATGATCTAAGACTTTTTGACGACAACATCAGAGATTTACAAAAGAAAATAACAATGTTACGTGATTTGTGAGAGATGACCAAGTTAGTTACCTTTAAATATATAAACATCTTTTGGACACCCTGTACTTTCGTTTACCTGCAGGACCTTATTCGTTGGCTGTTTAAAAAGTATAATAAATGTCACTCTGTGTTTTCTTATGTTAAAACGTTCGAGTCTTGTCTTGCACAATAATTGATTGTAAATATCGTTTCAGTCTTAGTCTCACTTGAATATGTCGTAGTAATCGATGTCATCATCTTCCAGCAGCTGTGCACCGTAGTAGAAACAAACGGAAAATGTCAGGTAGTAGACCCCTTGGGAGACTCCAAAGGCAAAACTAGCCCGAAGAGAGTTTCTGGAATGAAAAACATAATCAAGTCGGTCATGTGGAGGGTTTTTCCGGCCATGTGTCATACTTCTTTGTTTGCTTTTATTCTTTTTGTTTGGCTACAATATAATATGAACATAAATGTATAAATATACGCACATACATACATGTAGCCTACATACTCGCACACACACACGCACACACACACACACACACACACATACACACACAGACACACACACACACACACACACACACACACACACACACACACACATACATATTATATAATATGTAGGTACGTAGATAGATAGATAGATAGATAGATAGATAGATAGATAGATAGATAGATAGATAGATGTGCGTGTGCGTGCGTGCAATTGTTTAGGTTTGTATATTTCTGTGTGAATGTGCGCAAAGCACAAATAATGATTATCAATTAATCAGGATACCAACTTGATATTGGTCTTGTAAGGACCCCAGAGACTTTGGCTGAATTGGTTGTAGAGCGTGTCCTCTAACGTTAATGAAGCAACGGTTTTCACGTTGTCGATGCTTGCCATGGCGTTCTGGAAAATACGCACAAGTAAATATATATAATCGAACACAATACCTTGACAAGCAATCCTTTCCTTGTACATTCAGAATACTTGCATACATGCACTCTTTCATAATAATATCAATAATACTTTTAATAATTTGCAACCAAATACCAATTGAAGGGGTATTGATATGTCTTTCTCCATAGTAATGATTTGTACAGCATGGATTGCATAAGACAACACCTGCTCTGGTTCTAACATCCATTAAAGGAGCAAGTTGAGCCTTAATGCATTGAAAGCGAAAATCGACAACTGAAACAACCCAATAATAATTTGGATAAAACTATGTCATCAGTACCTTCACTTCTAACAAACTCCTTACCTTGCTTGCATCTTCCATGGCTATTTTATTCTCGTTTGCAGCGCCACTGATATACTTCACCGTTAACATACCGCTGTAAATTTGTAAAGGAGCATTGTTAGTTTATTCATTGGATGCTAAAGCATGGTAATGATAGTGATGATTTAAGATTCTAAATCGAACCAATTACGTTAGTAAAAGGTGGACTTTGGAGCAGCCCCAAAATTTGATCTGAGCTTTTACAAGCAGTTTAAGGGAAAACGTATTATCAAGAAAGTGTCATTAGAGAACATTTCGAAGATAAAGAGTTTGTTAACGTATAAAACTAGGAACAGTCTTAAACATGCCACGTTGTTTTTAAAAGTATATTAAAATAATAATTGAATATACTTTTGCAAGTATAGGGGAGAACTTGGACTGGACAAATATCATGTTAATTTTATATGACGAAAATATGACAAGAGTACACGCAGACAAACGCCAGGTTAATGAAAACCTTGAGTTCTCTTTACTATTCAACACACTTTAGTTTATGCTGTTTTCAGAGGAAGCTTCCTTTTTATTGTTTGAAATAGACGTAATAGGGCCTACCAAATATGATGAAGTGGGTCTCTCAGATATAAGTTGGCTTCGGCTTGAAGTGTTATAGTTCTGCTGTTCAATTATTTGATCGGTTTTCTATTGTGCTCTCTATGTTCTTTTATTTGGTCGATTTTATTTTCTTTTTTTTTAGGTGGGGGTGGGTAGGTTTATTGTTGTTGTCTGTTTGTTTGTTTTGCTGTTGTTGATTTCGGCCGGGGGGCGGGGGATTTTTCAGGGGGGGGGGTGTTTTTTGTGGGGGGGGGGTGGAGGAGGGGGGTTGTTTTGTAGTTTGAATTAGATATACACTTAATGATATGAATATGGTGCTTTGGATATTTCTTTGATTCAAAGACATGGTTTTTATCTATGCAAGATTCGTATACATGATCACGTTATGTCCTCCAAGCCACTTTAATACCACGGCACCTCTCGCAGTCCATCTACAATATTATATTCCGGGTACATAATATACTTCTAAGTGGTGCTCTGGGAATTACTAGTGAACGGAGAAAAACAATTCAAAGCTTAGGCCTACTCTCTGCTCGCAAAACGTGACCCCTTTAGCTGCTATATGAGCCTCTAAGCAGTTTGTGGATTTATTTGTTTGTTTGGAAGTTCGTGGGAAGGCAGGGGGGGGGGGGGGTTAGTGTATGATTCAGACAGAAAATGTAACGGTTGTCGTTCAATTCTTAAATATTCCGACTCTCTGTGGTTTCATAAGGCTTAACGGCACTTTCTTAGCAGAGGGGTTTTTTTGGGGGGGAGACGTGGATGTACTTGCAAACAGCACCGTGCTTGGGGATACTTACGAGACGACCAGCACGGGAACAAACCCGACAAGAGCCAGAGCCAGCTGCCAACTGTAGATGAGACTGATGACCAAGCCAACTCCGAGGTTGCCCAAAGTCAAGAACGCACAGCCAACCAGTGTCTTCAGAGTCTGCAGAATAATTTAAAGCGTGCACGGCTGCTTATTATTTTGTATGAGTTTAACTTGACAAAGTGGTCAGGTCGAATGAGAAAGCATAAAGTCAGCTTTTAGGTTTCATTTTATTCCAACCAGAACCTTAGTCGTCAGATCGGCTCGAAAGAAAGTAGAAATAAAGATGTAAGTACTGAGAAACAGGAACGAGAACGTTTGTTCATTGCGAGCCTATTCTAAAATGTTGCTTAGGACGCATCTCCGCAAGATATACAAAAAGCATCACGTTTTTGTTCTTTGTTCTGATCGAGGTTTAAGTCATTATTCAAGGTGATGGTGTGCGATGGTGATAGTAGACACGGGCAAGATGTGCGCTCCTACTGTTGTTACATGTCGTATTAGCTGACGGATGTAGTGATGCCGATGATGACGACGACGAGACGACGACAGCGTTGATGTTGATGATGATGATGATGATGATGATGATGATGATGATGATGATGATGATGATGGTGATGATGATGATAATAACGATGATGATGATGATGATCCCTTGGCCTGGCACCCACTTAGTCACTTCCGTCTAGCCTGTAACCACACGTAACCCTAAGACCCACTTTGTTAGGCCCATTTCCCTGTTAGTATACAGCGCTCATTTAGTTTTTCTCTCAGTTGCTCCTGAGGAAGCCCACGAGGCGAAACGTTGAGCTACTAAACAAATTTAAACGTTCTATATTGTTATTTTATTTTGTCTAAAATTTAAACAAGACTCTCCCTCCTACTCTGTTTACCAAACAATAATGATGATGATGATGATGATGATGATGATGATGATGATGATGATGATGATGATGATGATGATGATGATGATGATGATGATGGTAATTTATTTGTCCAAGACGTATAATTCAACAAACCCCTTGAACAACAGAAGCGTCCTCTGAAAGCTGCAAACTAAGAGCTCCTGTTTCGTGACGTTTGTCATCAAAGAAAGCCATATTCTGAAAGTAGACAAAACACGAAAGCTAAGGTGAGAGATCCAAAATAATTTGTTTCTAACATAAAAGATATCTTTTTATTTTATTTTTTGTTTGTTTATATTTATTTTAGTTTCAACTAGAATTTTTTTTTAAAGAAGAGGTCACACAACAGGAAGAAACAACTCATTCATTTAAAATAAATAAATAAATAAATAATGTCTTTTACCTGACCGATGATACTCCTGAACAGGAGATCCCTCACCCGCATGGTAAGAGCTTCGCCTGACAAACCAAACATGTACTCCTGCGATCAAAATAATAAGAAAATGTTACGGCAAATAATAATATTTTTACTGAAACAGCTTATGTGAACATGCATAAATCGAATCGTTCATTGTAATCTGATCTTCCTGACTAAAACATGTCAGTGTTACACTTTGAAAGCAAATAAATATCGACAATCAAATTCATTTTTCACGCGTAAGTATTTCAAAGATATCATTTTTCTGATCAAAGGGATTATCTCCTTAAAATATAAATACACACTAAAAGTGTTACTCACCATGTGAGCTTATTTGAAATGCATTTTAAAACAAGAACGGTAACTACACTTAAGAGATGAGCTGTGAGATCAGATAAACTTACTTGGATTAAGCTCTGAATAGATTAGACGTACAGAGTAAATTCTTAGCGAGGAACGATGTGGCCATTTAGAGCTTTAAACAGTGGGATCACGTCACAAATCAAATATTATTATGTAAGCGTCAAAAGTCTTCAATCTGGTGCCAAAATCTTGATATTTCAAACCAGAACATAAAAAAGAAAGCAGAACATCTTTTAATTTAAAAAACCCCAAACAATCTTCAATCCCTACGAAAAAAGACACACAGCTATGTCTGGATACTTATTCTCACCCCATAAACACTTGGACGGTCACGTCACCAGGGCATGTGATGTAGATGTTAGGCTATTTGCTGTTGCACACAGAAGATTAGAGTTCGATTCCCGGGTGGTTAGAATTTTTATCAAGTATCTCGGTCCTTCTGCTGGGGTGTTTTATCCTTCTCAGCCTGGGTTTGGAAGTTCACCTACCATGGTCTAATACGTTTCGGTCGGGTGTAAAAATTCCTACATTATTTTTAAAAAAATTGAAACTTTGAAAGTCATGTCCGTACCTGACCCAAGTAGGCAAAGAAAGAGACGACCGCGATACACACGCTGTAGATACAGCAGTCTCGGATTGTGTCTTTCTGTTCACTGTCTGTGTCCTCCGAAAGCGCCTGAAGGGGAGAGCATCGTGAGTGAAAACACAGGAGATAGTCTTTGGTGAAACTGGTTAAATTGTATGGGTTTAACGCCCCTATCAACACTATTAGGTTATTTAAGGGGCAGGACCTCTTAGTTTAACGTCCGTCTACGATAGGACCGAGCCAAGTGGAAAGTTCCTGTAAAGTGTCTTGCCAAAGGACACAACGTCGGACCGAGCTGAGGCTCGAACCCCCGAACCCGCAATCTCACGATTACGAGTCCGGTAGCCTAACTACTAGGCTACAGACACCACAGATAGTCTTTATTAGTGGGTCTATAAAAAGAGATTTCATAATTGGGGGGTATCAGAAATGTTCCTCTGATTGTAACCACTTTTAACTCAAGCAGGCTATAAGCAATTTGGGTTTGTTATTGCGTGCTGTAAATCAGGGAGTCAGAAAAAGAGAAAAGGAGATAGTAAGAGAGAAAAACCCAACAAAAACATAAAGAGAAAGAGAGAGAGAAAGAAAGAGAGAGAGAGAGAGAGAGAGAGAGAGAGAGAGAGGAGAGAGAGAGGGCGGGGGGTTGTGCTTGTAGTTTGGTATGTTAAGTGTGCGTGAAAGAGTCTGAGGGGGAGTTTGTTAGTGTGTTTGTAAGTGTGTTTGCATGTGTGGTTGGATAATATGTGTATAGATCTTTATGAAATCCGGGTAAGTGTAAAGATATCCCCGTGAACAGAATATGTTTGTCCTAATATTTAAAAAATGATGTTTTAAAAGTGCAGTTTCTGTATCTGTACATAGCATCGATTGCGTGGGATCAAGACATATTTGGACAAAATTCCAACCCTAAAAGTTGACAAAAAACACAAGAGAAAAAACAAAATAAATCTAGATCTAGATACAGTTGTCAAACCAACGAATGTTTTTGTTTTGTCGTCCTGTAAAATAATTCGTTCTGGGCTGCAATTCATTCTGTGATCTATGTGTGTATTTATAGAGCACATCAGTACATTCTGTGATCTATGTGTGTATTTATAGAACACATCAGTACATTCTGTGATCTATGTGTGTATTTATAGAACACATCAGTACATTCTGTGATCTATGTGTGTATTTATAGAACACATC